GATTCTTTAAGTGACGCTGTTAAGGGTATTTAGCAGGGTATGAAAGTAAAGAGGGCAGCAATCGATTTTGGTATACCACAAAGCACCTTACAACGCCATGCCAGGTCTGGAAACAAAGTGAAACGTTTGGGTCAAAAATCTATCTTGATTAAGGGGCAGGAAGACGAGTTGTGCTCAAGAATGTATAGACTTGCTGAGATGGTAACGCCCCTTACATCCAAAATATAACGCTCAAGTGTACACTCTTCTTGTCAAATCAACAATAGTCAGTGACCGTTTAACAAGCAACAGTCAACTGTGGTTGGAATAAAATGACTGAAGTTCGGCGTTTACCCAGCACGAGCAGCAAAGCTAAGTAGACCTATTGTTGCACCTTATTTTGACACTCTGAAAAAAGTGACGACTGACCTAGAAGTGATGGATAAACCGCATTTAATTTTTAACATCGATGAGAAGGGTAGTCAGCTAACTGTCCATAAGGAGCCTGTTGTGCTTACCCGCAAGGGAATTAAAAGAGCACCTTTTGTAGCTCCAGAACACGCGTAAAATGTCACTGTGATGTCCTGAGGGAATGCTCTGGGATAAATGATACCATCAGTCATTGTGATAAATGCAAGAGAAATAAGCCTGCATTTTCTGACAATCTTCCACCTGGAGATAAAGTATTCATGACTCAAAAAGAAACTATGACATGCACTACATTCGTTGAATGGGTACATCACTTTGCAGAACACAAGCCGCCAGGAAACGTACTTTTAATTTTTGATGGAGCCGACTCACACTTAGATGACAACATCGTTACTGTGGCAGAAGAAGCTCAATAACATCGTTCTGTCTACCTAGCAATTGTACAGATGAGCTACAACCCATGGATATGGTATATATCCTTTTGACCCGACAGTAATACCGCAAACAGCATTTGCACCATCAACATTATCAGAGAGGCCTCAAGAGAATATCGATGAAAATATTGTTGATCCTCCTGCAACTTGGTCTCCCAGGCCTTCAGCTTCTTGAGCACATATCGAAGAAGAAGCTACTTTTTACAGACGAACGTAGGGAATGGGAGGCCTTTTCATTATCCTCTTCTCCTGGATACTCCACTCCCGAAATAAGCCACAACTCATACGGTGAACAGTCACAATCTTTTTCTCAGCTGCTGCCAACACCAAAGATTCTTGCGAAGTATGCGGTTCGAAAGCCTGCTGAAAAGGCAATAAACTGCAAGGCCGTTCAAGTAAACTGAGCACTTTTTCTTACAAAAAACACGCAATTAAAGATGTCACAGAATCCACTAAAGAAGCAAAATAAAGCTACCTGTACTGGTTTGTCCAATTCCAAGGCAGAATCGTGGTATTGTCCTCTATCTCGAGAAGACCAGAAGAGAGATATGAAGCAGTGAACCTTTTGCAAGGGTATACGAGGAATGCTGCGGCTTGACCTCAAAAGGCATTATACAATTTCCGATGCCCGCAATATGAAGATAGTGTTTAGTTTGTGGCCAGCTAGTTGTTGCTGCCATTAAAAGTTTGCGTTTTCCCCGTTTTTAGATTTTTTCTTTTTCAAGTAATGAAGTATTTACTATTTTCTTAGAAAATTCTGTTAAGTTTATATTTCTTTGTTCTATCTTGAGTCCGCAAAAAAGCGTATCCAAATATCGGCACCCTGTGCTCATATTTGGAATCCAGGCGCCTAATATGGGCACCTGACACCTATTTATTGTCAATTTTTTGATTCTTTAATAAAGTTGTATTTTTCTATTCGATCAGCATTTTCCTTATTTCCACAACCCAAGGTATACGTTGAAATTTAAGTGCTTTATAATGGATATTAAACGTTTGCCGACATAATTTGCTTTGGGGTGCCCATATTTGGTCAAGGTACCATATATATACTGTCTAGCGAGGTTAAGTGGACCTTCGTCAACACTCTCATTCTTAGAAACGTTTAACATTGTGGTATGGTATAACCATCAAACTCAAGAGAACGAAAAGCAAACTCTAGACTCTGCAAACTAGATGCTTTAGGTGTAGTTACCCTCATACAACTAGGCACGAACGGATTACCCCACAACACGTATCACTTAGCAAATTGAAGCACCGTTTCAGAGATGACCTTTACCGTGCATACTTTGTATATAAATTAATTATCTCGTCTATTCTCCCTTATTTAATAAAATTATAAACCAGAAGAGTCTGTGGTCATAATACCGGTATACGACACTCTGATCATTTCATTATACCCCAGCATCGTACCACGAAGTTGCTTGTTAATAACAACGCAGCAGCCTTTGAATCAAGCTGTATGATTAATTTTAGTAACAGATCTAATAAAGTCCCACTCAACTATCTAGTCTTATATATTTACTCAGCTTATTAATTTTAAAATTACGTACATTTAAAGTGTGGATTTTCACAATTTCTTGTTTATTGTCAAGTGCTTTGCGTAAATTGTGTGTACAGGTTCAGGATATTCGCATTGTAGGGATGACATATCAATAAGAATAACATATTGGCGGAAAATGCCTCCAAAAAAAGGCAATTAAATATTTCGTGCTATTCTGAGGGAATTTAGTTAGTTATTTTAAACTTGCAGAGCGAAAACATCAAAAATTTCAGACTTCTCAATCTGGAGGGTTTCTAGAGGTAGTAAAAAAACATTGTTTGCCACTTGGAGAGTCTTAAAATAGCGTAGGTGTGCTTTTTTGAAGAACGTTCGTAAAATTTTGCAGGTGTTATCGTCGATTTGTCTATATTTTTGATGCTGATTCTTACAAACATTGAGAGAAACATAAATGCGGCTATAAAAATAAGCAAGAACTTTCCTGTTTTTGAAAGGTAAAGTACCGTGTCTTTCCATATATCTTGTGACCCACCACAAAATAACCATTTATTATATCTCTATATTCTAATATCTATTCTAGAACATACAAAATTGACAGAATTCTTGAAGTGGTAATTTTTTAAGCAGGTATGTCTATCTGGGGTGCGTTTGTGAAACACTTAATGTCATACTGTTCACAGTAAGAGAATATTGATTGACACATGAAATTTTATCCTGGAATACTGTGTACCTTTATTTTTAGGACGCCCAAATTATTACAGACGCGTAATGACACTTCATGAAGGTCAACAAATGTTAAACCACGTCTTCTGCAACCACTGTTTCTATTACAAAAAACGCTATTTTGATGAATATATATTGTGCCAATTTTGAGCACTTGTTTAACCACATATAGTAAACAAACAGAATGAAAAGTGAGAGCAATCTTATTCCCAGGGTACTAAGCATGAGAAGAAAAGTGCGCTTTTGACGTTCCAGAGGGTTTACTTTGTTCTATTAACGAACGCATGAAACAGGTACGTCAAACAATGACGAACGCTGAAATTGTTACAGTAGTACAAAGTATACTATGCAACGGTGTACGAACGCAACCCTGTACTTATCGTTGGTGGTTTTGATGCTCTCATTCCGTCCCTGCTTGTTTGCAGTAAAAGGCGTATAGTCCGCTCGGTGATTCATATGCAATCTTTGCGCCAAAGCAAAGACTTGGTCGTGATGGTATTTCTGTTATTGCAGCTACCACACAAAATATCGTGTCGAGTATGTCAGGTGGTAGGGAAGCTCGCACGCACTTCGCGCTGTTGTTTCACCTCAGATTATGCATGATAACTAAGGAATTATGGGTGTTAAATATGGAGATTATAAGGAATTTGAGTAAAACAGTGGTAAGGTGAAATATATACGGTCACATACCAAGAACATTCCAAGTATTTCGCTGTAATAGGCGACTACATAAACTTACAGAAGTTTTAAAAAGTATGGCCGGGTTTAAGTTTGATGGTAAGGGTTTGCGAAGTAAAAGGCCTCCAAGTTTTTTTTAGATGTTTTTGGGGACCCCGGCATTTTCAGGTCATTGGATTTTTGAAATAATTGTCAAGTATAACTTATAAAAACGAGTGAGTAAAGTGCTAAGCACTACAAAGTGAATGGGCCCTAAAAACACACCTAAAGGTTGCTCATATTTGTTCTTCTTAATCAATAATAAAATGCGATCCGATTTTGGGCACCTTCCATTAGATTCCTAAGCAAATTCAGTAAAAAAATTTGGATTCAGGAACCGTCGCTAAACTCCTTCCATATTACAGTATTTAGCCACAAAAAAGTTAGTGGTTATCAGGTACCTTGTCAATAATATTGATAAAATTTTAACTGTGAATCGGTACCGCCATTTGCAAAAACAGAAACTTGGATGGATGAGCCTTTTTTATACAAATAGTAGAATCAACAACGAATTCTCAAAAAAATATAGCCAATAAAAAATTCAAATTTGGTATGTGCCTCAACATTGACATCCTTTATACTAGGGTTGATCACTGTTTAATATGCGACAACGATTCTAAAGAAATGGATCCTTTTGAGCAAAGAGCTGAAGGTAGCTGAATTTCTGCAAGAAAATGGCAAGTAGGGTGACTCTGCACTTCCTACGCAATGCTGTCACCAGTTGATCAGTTCATAAAGGAGACAAGTGGACCACTCTGAGGAAAGAATTAAATAAAATCGGGTCAGTCAAATCAGACTTACACAATTAGTCCATCGTATCCACCCATTTGACAAGCTGGCATCATTTGTGCTCTGTGATGCTAGAACATTTTATGTGAGTAATTTGGAGCTGTACTGTGGAAAACAACCAGATGGTCAATATAGCCAATCTAATACACCAACTGCCATCGTTCACCGTTTGCTAGCAGAACAAAAAGGAAGCAATAGAAATCTAACCTCCGATAATTGGTATTCAAGTTACCCTTTGGCAGTGGAACTTCTTCAAGACAAAATAACTTTCATCGGAACCCTGAAGAAGAATAAGCGAGAGCTGCCGATAGAGTTCTTGCCAAATAAAAATAGGTTGGTTGGGTCATCACTTTTTGGATTCCAAAAGGATGTAACGATAGTTTCACATGTCCAAAAAAAAAAATAAATGCGTGGTTTTGATTTCAACTATGCACGACGACTCCACTATTGATCCATATACCAACAAACCTGAAATAATTCTAGATTATAATATGACCAAAGGGGGTGTGGACACAGTGGACAAAATGTGCAATACTTATTCTGTTGGAAGAAGAACAAAAAGGTGGCCATTGGCTTTCTTCTTTCAGTTGCTAAATATAGCAGGCATCAATAGCCAAATTTTGTATAACGGCACTCACCCTGAATCTCCTCACAAGTCCAGAAGAATTTTCCTGAAAACTCTTGCTCTGTCATTGATGAAACCTTTTCTTTCTGAAAGAGCTGCAATACCTACGTTACCTATAGATATCAGACATTTCCTATCCAGATATAGACAAACTCAAATGGATGAAGAAGAGGAGCCACCCAGAAAAATTAGAGGAAGATGCTCCATCTGCGCCCGAAAAAAAAATAGAGTTACCACAATTACATGCAGCATTTGTCACCAGTTAGTATGTAAAGAGCATAGTGTCAACGTTATCACCTGCCACAAATGTAAGGAAGGCGGATCCCATAGTGAATAGAGAATTATTAATTATGGTTGTTTTTTTCAATTTATTTTTACTGTCTTATTTGATTTTGTTTACTATTTTTGCTAATAAATATGTATTTGAGTTCAACAGTTGCTCTTATTACCACAGCTATAACTTATAGGGCAAACAAAACATATATTTGGATCATAACTTGCAACGGTGTACAAAATACACCGCGCGAGTAGTAACGTGAAATAAAAATGCGCGAGTAGTTAAAGGTTAAGAGAAGCATGTAAAATATTTGGTGTTAAGTTAACAACTTTGTCAAGACATCTTTCTCGGTTTCGAAAATCAGAGAGTCAAACTTTCGAATATAAACCAAGACTGGATAACAAAAAAGTATTCACTGATTATGAAGAGAATTGTTTGCTCCTTTATATAAAAAAGGTGGCAAAAATGAATTATGGCTTGACGAAAAAAAGTGTAACAGAACTCGCTTTCAAGTTTGCTGCAGCAAATAATAAAGCTTCTCCAGATACATGGCACCAGAATCAAATTGCAGGTGAGGAATGGATGAGGGCTTTTATGAAACGTCACCCAGACTTATCTATAAGGACACCTGAGGCTACTAGCTTAAGTAGGGCAAGTAGTTTCAATAAAACCAATGTCAGTGCTTTCATTGATAATATTGAAAGTGTGCATAACCGCTTTGGACCTATTCCAGCCGAGCGGATTTGGAACATTGATGAGACTGGCATGAGCACTGTCCAAACCCCTGGAAAAATTGTGGCACCAAAAGGAATAAGACAGGTTGGTAGTGTGACTTCTGCTGAACGTGGCAATTTAGTTACATTGATAACAGCAGTCAGTGCAAGTGGAAATCACATAAGTCCTATGTTGATTTTTCCCCGTGTACACTTCAAAGAGAGGATGTTATTTGGTGCTCCACCGGGATCGGTTGGGGCTGCTACACAGACAGGGTGGTCAAATGAAGATACTTTCTTACAATTCATGAATCATTTCATAAAAAGTGTAAGGCCATCCAAGTCAGATCGTGTACTTTTAGTTATGGACAATCATGAAACCCACTTAAACTTAAAAACTCTTAATTTGGCTTCAGACAATGGCGTTGTCATTGTGACATTCCCCCCACACACTTCTCATAAATTGCAACCCGACTTGTCAGTCTACGGATCTTTTAAATGCCATTACAACCAGTTAGTGACGGAATGGTTGTTTAACAACCCTGGACAGACTTTTGACATTTATGCTGTTGGACAAGTAGTTGGCAAGGCATATCCACGTGCGTTCTGTCCAATAAACATTTGCAATGGATTCGGGAAAGCCGGTATTTTCCCTCTTGACAGAAACATTTTTTCTGAAGAAGACTTTTTACCAGCATATGCTACTGATAGGCCAGATCCAAAATCTATTGGCCCAAATGATACAAAGGAAGGCTCAATCACTCTTCATAATTTCGAAAAGGAATCTGAGAATAGGCCTAAAGCAGTGTTTCCTGGAACCAGTGTGGACTTTAATTTACAAGGGCCATATCAACCAAATTTGAACATATCAAAAGAGACACTTAGTAAACCAGGTCCTTCCGAAATCAAAATAAATACTGACTCAAATCAGTTGCCCATACTAACAGAAAGAAAATCATCAACGGACTTTGTAAACTTACTACCTGAAGACGTTGTACCTTACCCAAAAGCAAAACCAAGAAAAGCTACCAATAAAGGAAGAAAGCGTGGCAAAACCATGATTGCAACAGACACTCCGGAAAAAGAACGGTTAAAAAATGAAAAGAAAGTCTCCTTTAAACGTCGTATAAATATAGAAGAAACAAATGAACAAAATAAAGACAAATCAAAAAAATTAAAAGTAAGGAGGCAGAAGAAGAATCAGCAAAGGAAACAAGTTCAATATTCATCTTCTGAAGAGGAGGACGATGTAGTTCATCTTGTAGAAACTGATGATGAGGACAGCAATGACGAGGAGTGCCTTTTTTGCAATGAATCGTTCAAAAATGACACTCATGGAGAGCAATGGATCCGATGCATGTCCTGCTTAGGATGGGCCCACGAACTCTGTGCTGCAACTAAAGAAGGGTGCAAAATATATATTTGTGATTTTTGTGTTAAACGCTGAAACAAATCTTTTCTTATATTTTTTTTTTCACTAATGTTTGTTGTTTTAGTTATTTGTAAGGTTTTATTATTTGTGAGTCATTTGGAACATGATTTATTAAAAATAATACTCTGGACATCTCTCTTTTTGCATTCCATTTACCAAAGTACCTGGGATTTATTATGTTCAATATCTCCCCAGTCCTTCCGACAGAACCGACCAGGTCACAGCATCGCTATGACTAACCGCGCCACACCCTAGCCACCCGTCTCTATCGGTCAAGGGTCAACACACGTTAGATGCGTTGGCCGGAGGGCGTGTATTTGAAATATTTGGAGGCAAATATACGGGAACGTCATGTGTGAAATATGCCTGATAAGTGAGTAGAGCTATGAGTTTACTTGCTCAAATAAATTGAGATTCGATAGATTCATATTTTTTTCGCTTTTCGCCTGCAATTGGTTCGATTATCAAACATTACACGACTTCCCCCTTGTCATGGTAGTAATCTTGTGTGAACATTTCATCAAAGCCCGAGTGGTAATCTGGAAGTTATAGACAGACAGAACGACTGAAATGAGCTACGTGCAATTCAATTCAGTTCAATCGACTTTATTTTAACAAATACTCACAAATACACAGTTAAAAATGGCAAAGTTTGGCCAAAAGCCATGCATACATAACTATGTCAGGCCTGTATCTAAAACTTACCCTAAAGAATAATAATCGGTAATAAGAAAAATGTTAGCGCCTATTCGGCGTTAGTACCAATCCTAATAGAATTTATACGGGGGAGAGAAGATAAAATAAAATAAAAAACAATTAAGCATTTAGCATTTTATAGGTTGATTTTGGAATACTTACTAATAAAGTTTTGGTCATACGAATTAATCAACTTCACTGCATTGTACGAGAGAGGACGTAGAAATATGGCTGTTCTGTATTATGTATTGTAGTAAGGTCAGGAGATGGTTGTTGCGCAGATTCAAATTAAGAATCAAATTCCTATAAACAAGCTTTTGCCTGAGGTAAGGGAGAACAGAGGTTTTTGATATTTTGATGACAAACTGTATTTGAACGTATTGGATGTCTTTAACCAATTCATGGAAGCTATGTAGTGACAAGTGCGATTGTACCTTTTTAATTGTTTATATAGCGGAAGCATGTATTTTGATTATTTTTGTCACCTGTATCTTATTTCGTCCAGTCCAGGGATAATCAACAATCAACAAGATAGACTACATCTTACTCAATATTAAAGACTCGCATACCTTCTTAATTTTTCTATTTAGAATTATATATTGCATATAGAAGTCTTCATCCAAATATAAACCTAAATTCTTTGCGTAATGAGAAAACGCAAAAGGTATTATTGATAGACATGCTGAATTTTTATTTGAGGAAAGCACACTTTTTCTTGGAGCAAGAAATCAGTCGATTTGGATGCGTTATTTCCTAAATTGTACTTTGTGGCGTATGTACATATACATTGTAAATATAGATTAATAAGGCTGGTAGCCATCTGATGCTTGTACTAAAAGTATATATCAGGAACAGGAGAGGCCTTAATATGGATCCCTGAGGCACGCTGGAACAAATAGGCCTTTTGTCTGATTGTTTATTTTGTATCTCCACAAATTGATGCCATTCAATTAGATAACAACCTATCCATTTTAGAGCCAAAACGTCAAATCCAACGTATTTGCATTTATGAATCAGAAGCTTATGATTCAGAGTGTCAAAAGCCTTATTAAAGTCTAGTAAGACGGTTGCTTCTTGCTTATCCGCCGCTGTCAAACATAATATCTCATTCTCGAAAAAAGGGTATATTGTCTAAAGAAATTAATCAAGATATTATGGCGACTATTGGAGGGTGTGTAGATTCTTAAGAAGCAGTCAAGGAGGGAGCTGGTGTGGCTATTTGAAGTTTGAAAAAGCATCTTGTGAACTTGATAGTATACCACCAGTAACCGTATCGACTAATTAAAAAATGGATAATGTGCTATGAGATGGACTATTACAGAAACCTATATCATTACCATAATGCAAACATCATATAAAAATTACCAGATGATTTCAAGTAGAAGTTAACAAGTGGCGTATTGCTTCATCAGGATACTGCGATCAGGCGTTGCTCCTGCATTGCTATTGTTACTTCTTGTTTACACAACACTAGGCAAGCTTTAAACTGATAATTACTCATCGTATTCGCGGGTAGTTTCAAAATATTGACAGCAATCGGACAAATTTTTTACCTAGTGGCTGTTAAAATGCTGGAGAGCAGTGGAGAACAGTATATTAAACAAGACCATTAATGGTAAAAGATCGAGGAGAAAAATAAAACATATTAAGTGTATGGCTTTATAGATAGGGGGTAAGGGATAGAGCGTCAAGATCGACTCCTCATACTTCAAGAAATATAAAAGGTGTAGATGGGAAATTTCGGCGGATATTGAATCTTGAACTGTCTCATTTCTATGGTGGCGTCATCTCGGTCGTCAAAGAATTGCTTAATTTTTAGTTGCCACGACTACATTCGAGGTAGTATTGCAATCGACATTCAGATATACCGCTTTTTTTTGGCTGGGTTATATGTAGATAAATCACCCATTTCTGTCTGTCTGTCGGTCTGTTTTTAATCCTCGACCCCTCTATAACTTATAAAGTACAGCTCGGATTTGAAATCAAACGAAAAAAATGAAAACCACAGACTTCCTTCTCTTGACGATTCAGAGGCGTCTAATCATTTTAGGGAAAGTTTTTGTAGGAGATAATAATTGGGGATCGAAGATATCTCAATTTTTTCATGTTAGTATATTTTTGAGCTCCCAACCTCTGTAACTGTACGTAGATCCTGGACGTTGCCAGAGGGACAGTACTAACGGTAGAGCAAGAAATAATGTCTATGGACTAATTATATGGGCCTGTTTGACTGACTTGGTTCGCTCAATTTCTCTTTTATACATGTTCGTAACAAACTTTTTTCTCGAACTAACGTGTGCTGAGCATGATTATGTATGCACTGGTGATGGTGTTGCGTGGGAAGCTTACTAGTCGCCATTTTTACTGATATAGAAATCAAATCCATGTGACTCGCATACGCTTTTAGCCGCTGAGTTCTCTATGTACATGTTTCTGTGCGCACACCATTCAGATTTCAGATACGCAACAGTGCACTTAACAAATGAAGTTGTTTCGTCATCAATAAATTATTATAAATAGCGTTGAGAGGCGAAACAAAGTAAATCGAAAACCCATTATTATATTGCTTGTCACGCAAATGAAAACGTGCTGAAAAAGATGGTATCACTCGCCCAAAAGTTTGTTCGCGAGTTCATATTAATGACACGGAGTTACCCCGAGAGATCGTTGTGATACTTCGAAGGTACTTTTAGTGGAAATGGTTTATTACTTTTTCGTTGCTTAGGTAATCCGATACTAATAATCTGGGATGGTATTGAAATATGAGGATTGATTAATTCACTTGTGGGATCGTCTTAATTCTGAGAAGTTTTGAAATGCCTGCGAGACGCTGATTAGATCTTGAGGTGGACCTGTTCATATTCATCAAAAATCTTACTCTTACTAGACTCTGGTCAGAAGGTTGTTTTCTCATAGCCATTAATTTATTTATAAGACTAATATATTTTTTGTGTACAGCGCTTTTCAAAATGCCCCCTCCCCATACCAATTATTTGAACGGGTTAAGGGTAAAAAATTTTATACATGAATACTATATTTCAGCGTGAAAGAGGCCATTTAAAATTCCAAGGCAGCGACTGGGCGACAGTTAGAAACGTTTTTACTCTCATTTAAAGTTTATGGCTTATAGGCTTTATTTGTTAAACTCGATACACTGATAAAGGCTCTAAGTGTCAAGGACTGTATGATAGATTTAAAATGGCGCTAATAGATAGCGCTCGGTCTAAGTTCCACAGTTCGTTTTAGTCAACAAGGGTCGTCATTTGTGCGTATTAGTTAGTCAGTTGTACAGTAATTTTCGTTTGTTTCTGCTCCATAATTAACGAGACGGATGTACAAATTACAAGGAAAATGCGTAAAAAAGGGTTAGAAAATTGCAAGAAGGAAAGGATGAGATTAAAAGTAAGTCATATGGAATAATAAATCACGAGCTGGGAAATTCATTAAACCAAAGACCTGTCTATCAACCATTGTAAGTGAAGTATAACCTCTTCAAGATTTCACGTGGCTTTTATACTTTTTTTAAGCAACATGTAAATGCTGTTATAAATATAGAGATATTTCTGTGCAGCACAAGACTTTTTTATTTAATGATTATTATAACAACGAAGCACTTATCTTCTTGGGCCCATACATAGTGGTGTCACGGGGTCTATAAAAGCTCAGAAGAAAGTCGTTGGCAGTGCACCGTGTTTTATACTATACCCGATGGAAAAGGCGATCACATCCAGGTATGGCGAAAAACGTTTTCCCAAATTTTTGACTTGTCGCTTAAAGGGGTACAAGTTTTGTTGACAAATAAACAGGTAGGCTATAAACTATCCGGCAAAATCTGAAATGGAATTTCTTAGCCAGAGTCTTCTATCGTTTTAATCGTCTATTCATCGCATTTAAAAAAGGATTTCCCAAAACCAGAGCAGCGTATAGATTCTTCTGCGATATATTTAGGAAAGATTTTCCTAACTTAAGATTTGGCCGTCCGAGGTCAGATACTTGCTCTAACTGTGACTTATACCAAAATAAAATTTGAAGCTCTACAGGACCCATTAAAAAGGACCAATTTCGTAAAAAACTAGAATATCGCCAAAGAAAAGCAGAACGAGCAGGAACTGTGATGAAAGAAGATGATGTGGAATGTCAACGGTCCTCCGATATCAGCATTGTAAGTATCGATTTAGAACAAGTACTATTCATCCCAACATTAACTCAGATGCTTTATAGCAGGCAATTATCCTGCTATAATTGGGGGATCCACATTTCTGACAACAGTTCCGCCCATGTGGAACGAATCTATGAGTGGGAGGGGGGTAATGAAATTT